CAGGTTCCTCTCTGACGGGAAGGTCCCCGAACTGGCTTCCAAGATGCCACCCATCGGCCAAGGGTTCTTGCTTCAGTCCCACAGCGATCACATACTGGCAGGGTGCAGCCCTTTGAGGCTACCAGCTGGGGACTTTGAAGGCCAGTTGCATTCCGAGGCTGCATAGCCTGTGGTTCTTAGACACTGGCGGCCTCCTTGGGTGTTAGGGTTTATACGGGGATATTCTCTTAAAGCCTTGCCAAACACGGGTGGTGCTTGGCAAGGTGCTCAGATTGTGGCCTGGAAGGCTGTCTCTCCCTCCCTGGCTCCTCCTCCCACTCCGTTTTCTGCCCACCGTGCCGTGAGCAGCTGTCCTCCACTAGGCCCCTCTGCCGTGCTGTCTGCCTCGAAGGCAGCTGACCTGGGCTAAACCTTTAAAAACTGAGTGCCAAAATAAACCTTTAAATGACAGGTGTTGAGAATTGAGTCTCAGTGATGAGACTGACTTGCCGTCTGGAGCCAGTGGGAACCTGGAGCCTTGGGAACCCTCCTGGTCACTGGCATGGCGGCTGGCCTCAATTCTGCACTGCTGTCTCTTGTTCTGTGCTGCTGGCTATCTTCACTGTCACCAGCCCTACCCACTGCCCACATCTGGTGCTGGCGGCCTTTGGTATTACCGGTTCTTAGTCTACTTCTCAGCAAGTTCTGTTTGAGATTGAAATCACAGGTCGGCAAATTGCCCCTAGGAAAAGGCTTTAGGGCTTCCTTTAGGGCTCTTCCTGCAGCACACAGGCTGTACCCACTGAGGGTCTGGGCATCCACATATGCGGTACCAGGTTTTCTGTCTGGGCATGGGGAGGTGACAGGCCCTGTGGAGCCAGCTGAGGAGGCTGCAGAGGGGCGGCATCATCAGGAGAGCTGCAGTGTGGAACCCACTGGGGACTGGCTGGTGGCCACAGCCTGCGGCAGGCCAGGCAGGCGTTTTCCGAGTGGCTGCAGACACAGGGACGGGCAGGCTGTGTTTGTGACTGGCTCCCAGCTGGGTGCGGGGAGAGTCGCCCTTCCTCCATCTCCCCACGTGCTGCAGGCACCCTGGGTGTGGGGGTCCTCAGGCCCCACGGGGAGGCTGCCTGCAGTCCCATACGTGCCCCTTTCCCTTTTTAACCCCATTTAGAAGTGCCCAAATAACTAGTCTGTACCGGAACTGCAACCCTGCTCTGCCGGTGAGAGGACAAAAGCCCAGGGCCATAGAGGAGGAGGCTTTTACACCCCTCACCTGGCCTGGCACCCAGCCTGGCACTGGAAGACTGCACAGAGCCAACGCTGGCAGGTGCCCAGGCCTTCGGAGACTTGGGTGTCCATTCTGCCCTGAGCACTGCCCCGCCGGGTTGACAGGTGTGATGTGGCGTCTTTCCTCTCAGACTCCGACGTGCCTCCATGCTTTGGCCAGCGTGAATCTCAACAGACCGTGTGTCTGTCTGTCACTGCTGTGCCCGAACCAGAGTCTGCCTTTATTTTATTTATTTATTTATATTTTCCAAGATGGCTTCTTTATTTTATGGAAAAAAAGTAAAACAAAATTTTATAAAAAGATGATAGAATAAACAATAGTTAATGCGTTGCACATTATTATCTTTAAAGTAGATATTACAGTATAAGACATGGCCATAAAAATTCCCCAATGGATATTAGCCTAAACCTTTCTTTCCTGTGAACTAAGAGAGACCAGGAGTATCACCAGCTTGTTTCTCCCTTTTCCCTTCCTACATTCCCCTCCGCCCATTTACTTTCCTTTTCCTGTTAAACAATCTCTCCCCATTTCATGATATCTGTTCTACATTTTAGACCTTATCTACTTTTTCAGATTCTCACGCTAGGGAGACAGTATGGTGTTTACACATGTGAATCTGATTTATTTCACTTATGAGTATGGTTTCAAGGTGCATCCCTTTACCTACAAAAGTCTTTACCCTTCTTTATAGCTGAGTCATACTCCATTGTATACACATACCACATCTTTTTTACCCATTCCTTGGCTGATAGGCATTTGGTTTTTTTCCAGGATCTGTGTATCACAAATTTTGCTGCTATAAACATGGGTGTACATATATCACTGTGGTATAATGTTTTTATTTCTTCTTAAATGATACCCAGAAGGGGAATAGCTGGGTTGAATGGGACCTCCAACCCTAGTTTTTTAGGAATCTCCACACTGATTTCCACAGTGGTTGCACCAATCTACACTCCCACCCACAGTGGAGAAGGGTTCCTTTTCCCCCACAGCCCCTCCAGCATTTGTTATTGCTTCATTTCTTGATAGTAGCCATTCTTTGTGGGGTGAGGGGGAATCTCAGTGTTTTAACTTGCATCTCTCAAATGACCAGTGATATTGGACATTTTTTCATGTATTTATTTGCCATTTGTATTTCTTTATCTGAGAAGTGTGTGTTCATCTCAGATGCCCAATTTCAGATTGGATCTTTGAATTTGGATGGGTCTAATTTTTTTCAACTCTTTATGTGTTTTAGATAGAAGTCCTTTGTCTGAGGGACAGTTGACTAAAATATTTTTCCACTCTGTGGGCTGTTTTTTCACTCTGTTCGTAATTTCTTTGGATGTGCAAAAGATTGTTATTAAGATAAGATCCCAGTTGTTTGATTCATTGAAGTATTTTCCATGTAGTCTGTGTTTTGTTCCTGAACTCTGACTAGCCCTATGTCTTCAAGATTTCTATCTACTTCGTCTTCCAGTAGATTTAGTGTTTCGGTTTTAATATTGAGATCTTTGATCCATTTAGACTATAGTTTAGTGCATGGTGATAGACACAGGTATAGTTTCAGTCTTCAGCATGTGCAGGGCCAGTTTTTCCAGCACCATTTATTAGGAAGGCTCTCTTTCTTCCAGTGAACATGTTTGGCCCCTTGGTCAAAGACATGTTGGATGACTGTGTTTGTAATTTGTCTGCATTTTAGAATTTGTTCCACTCATCCTCAGGCCTTCTTCTTCTTCTTTTTTTTTTCTGATTTTATCACATGATACCACACAGTATAATTTCAAGTCAAGAGTGAGATGCTGGTATCTGTTTGGCTCAGTGCCCAGTCCTTTGGTGCTGGGCTGTGGCGAGGTTATTGCCCAGAGATTCCCAGCATTGTTATGGAAGGGAGAAGCACTCATTACAGCAGATGTGACCTCCCGCTAAAGCAGTGTAATTAGCAAGAACAATAGTGTCAAGCACAGCTCAGAGACTGACAAGCTGTGGTAACTATTAATTTTGTACTTTACACACAGGAGCAAAATCTACAATTATATAACAGAACCTATTGTAAACTGGGAGCTTGCATGCAAGGTGTTTCCCTTGGTAGAGTGGTTTTACCTGTGGTGGGAGATTTAAGACGGAGAGTGGCTAAGACAGAGAGGACCAGGGAGAAAGCGGAGGCAAGGCTGGGGGACAAAGGGGATCAGGCTTTGGGAAAGCAGGGGAGAAAGCGGGCAGGGGAGAAAGAGCGGAGGAGGAAGCAAGAGCTGATGTGAACCTGGTCTCTAGGCTTGGGAGCTGGGATTGGTTTTCTGTGGCTGGAGTTTTCCCTATCCATTTAGAAAAAAGAAACAAGATGGGAAAAAAGAAAATAGGAGAGAGAGAGAGAGAGAGAGAGAGAGAGAGAGAGAGAGAGAGACACGGTTGTGGCCCCGACACCTGTTCTGTGCTGTGTCTGCCCCACGCGGTGCCGCTTCCCTGGACTCACTGCCGCTGGCTCATGTTGCTATTGCTGCTTTGGACTGTTCCAGGCTGCCAGTCCCGCCTGGCCATCCTGCATACCATAGTGGGGACCCCACTGTTCCCGGAGTCCCCTCTGGTTTCCGGCCTTCTCACGTGGTTCCTAGCAGCCGTGATAGGAGGGCTTTATCTTAAAAATCTGCACCTTTATTGTTCTCCAGCTATGTCTGACTTTGTAAGTGCTTGGAGCACCGAAGGGGCTGGGGGCTGCACTGGTGGGGGCGGAAACCTATCTAGCTGCCTCATATTGGGGCGAGACTGATGGAGCTCCCCCTCCAGGCCTCCCTCCCCAGGCTCCTGCAGGACTGAGGCCAGGTTCTGCCCCTGGCCTTCCCTAGCATGCCCTCCGTTTGCCCCTCTGGATTGTGCCTCTGCCGGGGCATCTGGGCCCACAAAGAGGAGGGCAGCCCAACTTTTGGGAGAGGCTCAGATGTCCTGGAGTGTGTAAATTTCTCAGCCTCAACATTTTGTTACATGGAGCATGCCCTTCCTCTGCACCAGAGAGCATGCCATGAATTGGGTACACCCCAAAGCTATCTTTAGGGCCACCCCAAGGTACAAACGGGCTGGCCTTGGCTTCCTGTGACAGAGCAGAGAGGGCAGGAACCTGGGGCTTCTCATGTCTGGGCTCGTGTCTTCAAGTTTACAGGCTCTGGTGTGGGTCCTGGAAGCCGGGTCCCTGCTGCTGAAGCCCTCGGAGGAGGCTGGGCAGAGCCAACTTGCTGGCCGTGGGTTGGATCAAGCCCCGAATGGCATCTCAGGGAGCTGGAGCTCACCATCAGGAGCAGGATCCCAGCTGCTGCCTCTCAGATAACTGTGAGGACCCCAGGTACAAGGCTAGCACCCCGAGGCCTCCATCTCCCACCCCTCGGGGCACTGGGCCTGTGGGAGGAGCAGCCCTGGGGCATCTGTGCTCAAGGACTGGCCCCTTGGTTAGCAGAGTGGCGAGAGCCACATGACAGATGGAGCACCTCCCCCTTGCCGTCCACATTCACGTCACCTCTGACCCTCAGCTGTCCCCAGTGTCCCCTCCTCCTCTTGGCTGCCTTCCCAGACCACCTGTGGTCCTGTACTTTCTCTTTCTTTTCTGGCGGCCTCCCCAGGTGGAGTCTCCAGGCTCGGAGGAGCCCAGGCCCTTGCAGCGGAGGCTCCTGGGACACACACAGGCTTCCTGTGCTGTCACTCACCTGGCTGCTGTCACCTTTCCTCAGGGTGCGGTGGTGCCTAGCAACAGAGGCCACCGCCATCCTCTCTGTGCTGGGCCCTGTGTGCGTCGCATGCCTGCTCCGCGGCACACATCAGAACTGCCCCCGGGTCTTCCTGGGTGAGACTTTATTGCCCTGGCCCTCACACTCTGCCTCCTCCTGTGACTGACATCGCTGCCACCTCTCCCTGTTGGGGGCCACACCCAGCACCCACCACCTGAGGTTGGTTTGTCTGGGAGATGGGGTGACGGGTGACTCCTGTGGGAAGAAGGGGACGGAGCGGGTCCTAGGGCCCACACTGGGTCCATTCTTGGCCCCTTCCACATCAGATTGGTTGCCTGGCCCTATTCTGTCTCCTCCCTCAGAGACAGGGCAGTACCCAGGGGCCGTGTTCTGGACTTGGGATGTGGGTACACTTGAGATGGGCCCTGGCTCTTCTGAGGGCTGGAGGAGTGGCAGGCAGGACTGTGTCCAGCTGGGGTCTAGCACCTGTCCCTCAGGCTAGCTCTGACGGAGCCAGCTCCTGCAGGCTGCTGTCATCCCCATCAATCAGTCAGTCAGTCACTGCCATGAAGCCATGGCACAAAGCCTTCCTTCCAACCGCTGTCGGAGTCCCGAGGGGAAGACAAGCCTGCTTGGTTCTGGGGAGCTCTGCGGACCCCCACCCCTTCCTGACGGCCTCTCTGTAGGCTCTGGCTCCCAGGTCAGTGGACACCAGGCCCCAGGGAAGAGTGACCTGACCTGGGCTGCGCACACGGGAGGCATAGCAACTGGGACAGTCCCCGCAACGGTCACTGTTGTCATCAGGCCGGTGTTGAGCTCAGAGCAGTGAGCCCTGGAGTGCTGCCTCCCTGGGGTACCCGTCAGGCTCCTGTCTGCCCTGCCCCCACCCAAGGCAGCAGCCCAGCAATTTCCCCCGCAGAACCAGAGAGCTGCTGTGGCACAGCCGGGCAGGGCCGGCCCCCAAGCTCCCGTGGTCGGGGTTCCGTGGGCAGACACAGCACCCACACATTTCTCACAGAGAGGCTTGTGACATGGTGCCTGGCAGAGGAGCCCTGGGTGGGTACGGAGGAAGGGGCTCAGGACAGAGCCCTGGATGGAGCTGCCTGAGAGAGCTGGCTCTCTGCAAGTAAGGATAAAGAAGGAAAGAGGAAGAGAAAGTAAAAGGGGTGAGCAGAAGGCCGGCATTCAGTCAAACACATTCTGTCAGAGCCACATAAGGAACTGGGTTTAGGTCTGAGCAGAGGACAGCGGCCAAGTTGTCCCAGAGAGCCCCACTGTCCAGCAGGAGACACTGCTGACCGCAGCTGCAGACGGCAGGAGTCCACCATTTTTTGAAACAAGCTCTTGCTATTTAGTTCAGGCTGACCTTAAACTCACACAGATCCTCCTGCCTCAGCCTCGGAGTGCTGGGATTATAGGCTTGTGCCGCAATGCTTGGCGGAGCCCTGGTTTTACAGTGACAGAGGTTTTGATTAGGATGACTGTCTCCAGCTTACAGAAATAGCAGATGAGATCTGGGGCAAGTAGGATGACCCAAGTAACATCCCAATGAGGGAGTGTTAAGTTTGTGTCTGGATGTCCCCCTAAAACCGCCTGCAGTCATGGGGGTGGGGTTCCAGAGTTGGGAACTGATTCAGGGTCCAGTGCTGGGATTATGGGTGTGAGTGCTCCACCCCGGTCGGTGTGGCCTGCATACAGTGTAAGGGACAGAAAGAGTCTCTCGTGCCCTCCCCTTTTCCTCTTGTTGCTTGTCTGGTTTCCACTGCCATGAGCTGCCGCCCTCTGCCATGTGCTCTCTGTCTTGGAGCCAGCTGAGTATGGACTGAAACCTCCACAGACTGTGAACTAAATAAACCTTTCCTCTTTAACTTAGGATAGCAGGTATTTTTGTTTCTGCAACAAGACAAATTGAGACAGGGAGCTCAAGCTGATAGTAGCAAGCCTGCTTCAGTAGATGATGTGAAAGTAGCTTGGTTTGTCCCCACCGGGCCCACCCCCAGGCTCTGCCACCTCCACCCTTAGGCCCGGGTGTGTTCATTCAGCTGTGCATCTGGGCCTAAGTAAACAGTGCCCAGCAGTCTGGGCGCACATGTGTGCGCTCTCCATAGTTTATGGTACATGGCGGCAACATTCACAGCAGCTTAAGTCTGCTCTGCTGGTCTCCAGTCCCCGGGAACGGGCAGAGCACTGTTGCATTGTGGCCAGTGCTCCATCAGGTGGGCATTGGGCCCTGGAGATGCAAATTCCTGGGCCATCCCTGCCTGCTGTGTATACTCCTCCAGGCCATATTTCAAGCTTGCTGCCCATGGCAAGGCCCTTACTGCTGCCTGAGCCCAGGCGTGCCACCTTGGCTTCACTAGCCACCTCTATGCATCTATCCACCCATTTCTCCATGCCTCTGTTTATTCATCCATCCACCTATCCCTCTGTCTATCCCTCTAGCCATCCCACTATCCATCCATTTATCCATCCATCTGTCCATCTATCCCTCCATCATGGTCTTGTACCAGGGAGATTTGAGTTGCCAACTCTGTCTGCTGTGGTCTGAGCTTGCCCAGTGCAGGGTAAACATCCCTAACTTGGGTCGACACACAGTACAGAGTGGATTCTGTGGGTGGGGCAGGAGGAGAGATGGGGTTGCAGCAGCCTGCCGGTCAAGTTTGTGACCCAAAGGATCTCCAGGGTGCTCACAGCACGGCCCCATGCTGTGCCCGCAGTGACTGAAGCAAAACACGTGCTCTATTGTGGGACAGAAGAATATAAAAAGTCATCAAAAGGTTGTGAGAAGTCCCATTAACACCCTGGATTTCTGTTCAGTCTTTTTTCTCTGCCTGGCATTTGAACACACATGCATGTGAGTCTGCCTGCCTGCCTGTCTGTCTGCCTGTCTGGCTCTTGCCTGCCCGCTTCTGTCCTCCACTGACTCTGTGCAGATTTTACCCTGCTGGATTGCCTGCTGACTGATTGCCCCTAGTCTGGGTCTTGCTTGCCTGGGGCCTTGGGTCTCGGGTGCTGGAACAGCTCGTGGCCACCAGCGAGGTATCCTCCCTCAGATCTCTGGCTGGGCAGCCCTATTGGGTGGTGACCACTGCCACCACGTGCCAGGCTCTTCTACTCTGGGTCACACACCTCCCCGTCACAGCACGGGGCCTGGCCCACAAGCTATCGCTGTCCAGCCCAGAGGCCATGCCGGGTGAGGGAACACATGTGGTTTCCTGAGGAAGGGAGGGGTGTAGCTGTGCTTTGTGGGGGGCAGAGTGGGTGTTGCTCGTCGTGTCTCAGTACTCGGTGTGCACCTTGGCAAACAGCAGGTGCTCAATAAATGTCTGCAGACTGGGCAAGCAAACCGAAGTGTCACCGATGACAAAAACACAACTCACTCTACATGAAAAAAGGCTGCACCAAGCAGGACGTCCATCTTGGCTCTGCTTTCAGGTACAGCTGAATCCAGGAGCTCAGATAATGTAAGTGGGACTCAGTTTCTCACTCTTGTCTCCCTGCTTTTCTTACCTCTGGCTCAGTTCTTTCCATGTAGGGAACAAAAAGCCTCGACACTATTGTTTTATTTTTAATTTTTTTTGTTTTCAAGGCAGAATCTCACTATGTAGACCAGGCTGGCCTTACACTTGTGCTCTCCTCCTGCCTCTGCCTCCTGAGTGCTGGGATTAGAGGTGTGTACTCCCATTCCTGGTTTGAGGCTGTATTTTTGAAAACTAGTTTATGATCACAGCTGGAGGAAAGAGTTCTCCCAGGGTCCCTGTAATAAATCTCCAGGCATGGAAGCAAAGGCGGGTATGGGCCATGAGCCTTTTTTGGTGGTCCTTGGGACCGGCCCTCTTAAAACCAGCCTCAATGTATGGCTTTCTGCAGAAAGGGGGTTCACTGTGGGGTTCATTATTGGAAGGAGGTGGGGGAGGCGGGTGTTGGATGAAATGGAAAACTCTCCTTCTAGGGCTGGGCTCTGAAAAATCATGTGCCTCGACTGGGGCCAGTAAGAGAGGGGATCTCAAGGAACTTCCCTGCTGGGGGGACCGCGGAGGCCCGAGGCCACTGGGGTCGGGCTTGCTAATGTCAGAGGAGAGCAGCAGCCTCCTTGTCCCCAGGCGTGCAGGCTGCCAGTCCTGAGGGCGACCGTGGGGTGGAGAGAGGAGCTCAGGAAGCGCCCGCATCCTGCAGGGAACCCACTAGAGGGGACTCGGCGCTCCGAGGCAGAAGCCGCCCTAATTGATGCCAGCTGTCATGTTTTGCATGGCACCAAACAGAACTGAGACTTATGTCTTACAGTTTATTAGCAGAGTTCATGAGCTTCTGATGACACAGTCATATTTCGGGAAGTCACACAAATGTTTCTCCCCTGGGAGGCCCTGGCTTTGCCCCATCCTCCAACCTGGTGAGAAAGGCTTTGCCGCGCAGACGGGGTCCTGAGTATGTGCAGATCATACTGATGTGAAAGACACCCTGCTCCCTGCGGACTCTCAGACCTGTGAGAACTGCGACCCAGCACAGCTACTCCAGGGCTCCAAGTCCTCATGGTGGGGGGCCAGCTGGGGGTCATGTAGGACCTGGAAGAGACTCACACTGTCCTGCTGATGGCCTGAGTCTCAGGGACCAAGCCAGAGGGAGTATTTGTTGATTTTCTTCCTACTGCAGCCAGTTGGATTTTGATTTGGGTGGATAGAGGGATGGATGGATAGAGGGACGGAGGGATGGGTAGAGGGATGGAGGGGCAGGGGGATGGAGGGACAGAGGGATGGGTAGAGAGGTGGATAGAGGGATGGATGGCTAGACAAAGGGATGGAAGGATGGGTGGCTAGAGACATGGATAGATGGGTAGGAGGTGGATAGAGGATGGAGGGGCCCCTGGAGCCTCCCCCTGTGTGCTCCAGAAGGCTGCGGGAGGAGAGGAGAAGCAGGAAGCGGAGGGTCCGGTGTAGGAGGCCGTGGGATTGAGTAAGAGGGGTTGACTGTACGTACACACGCTTGCATGTGCTTGTGCATGGGTATGTGAGGGACTGCGTGTACACGTGTGCCTGTGTGAGGGGGGTCCCTGGGTCTGTGCATTGCGGGTGCAGGGCTGTGGCTCTGTATAGCGTGCATGCACACCTCCCCGTGTGTTTGTGTGTCTGTGTGGGAAGAAGGCTCACCTGAGCATGGGCCAGGTGAGCCGAGTCCTAGGGGTGTGGTTGCCTCTTCAGCAGAGTCTGCTCTGCATTAAACACAAACTCTCTCAGGGGCTTGGACTCTTTAAATGGAAATAATCAGAGTTCCGTGTGTGTCACCAGCAGTTGGGAGGGGCCGCCAACCTTCCCAACAAGGAGCCACGTGGTATTGGGCCAACAGACCACCAGTCAAGGGGAGGCTGCGCCCTTGACTCAGTTTCCCTTAGACTGTTTGGCACAACCAGGCCTAGAATCTTAGCTAAGATGACCACCAGGCAGCTTCATGTGCCTTTCTGTCCTCTGATGGTTCCTCTTGCTGAGGGGCGCGGCCCACAGTTACCCGGACCCCCTCTGTCCGGGCACACATACTCCCTCCTTGGCATGGGGCTGCCGTTTCCAGCCCTGCATTGCAAGGAAGAAGCCAAAGCATGGCAAGGTTAAGTCTGGCCCCAGGGTCTCACAGTCACGGCGCGGATTTGGGGCTGGGGTGGAGCAGGGCCGAGCAAACACAGGGAGGCCCAGGCTGGCGCTGAGAGGTGACAGGTGGTTCTCATCTGGGCAGTGGGTGGCACAGCCGGGGTCTCCATCACCCAGGACCTGCACAGCGAGTCCTTCAGCAGACTGTCCGCTCCTTGCCCTGGCACAGGTCCCGGCCCGTGTGGATGGGGAGGGCTCCTCGCTGCGAAGCCAGGGTGGCTGTGGAAAGCACCGCGTAGAGAGCTGCAGCAGCATCTTGCTCTGTAAGTTGTTTATGTTTCGGGTCCCTCCTGTGAGACAGACCATGAAGGGATCTGGGCAGAGGGGCCGGAGGGGAGGGTGGAGAACATTGGGACGCGATATGCGTATCGGACCCCGCGCCCAGTGTAAACACTGCGCTGCAATCCTGTATGATAAACACAAATAAAGTTCTTGGGACGCTCCGTGGAAAAAAGGAAGAATCTTCCAGCCCTTCTGGGCCCAGGGCGGAGCAGCCCCCATCCTGGAGCTGCCTGCGGGCCCCCATCTTCCCTGAGGCCACTGCCCTGCTCCCCTCCTGGGGCCCCAGGAAATCCTAGTGATCTGAGCCTGCGGCGCGGCCACTGTCCAGACTCCACTGTGTCCCCAGGGGATGCACAGGCTGCTAGGGTCCCTCCTGCAATGAACAGGGGAACAGAGGTGGGGAGACTGTTATCTTCCGTCACGGTGGTCATCCTCTGTCCTGACACTTTGGTGTCCCATGCCCTGAGTCCATATTTTGCCCCACTGCTGCCTCTGAGGGCACAAGTGTGGGGGAACCTGAGGAGCCTCTCAGGGCCAGCAGGGCGGCAACTTAGGGGCAGTGCAAGAACAGGGCAGAGGGGACAGGCCCATGACAGCAGCCACCCTGGAGGTCCCAGGTGAGAGAGAAAGTGCTCTCTGCCTTAGGGAGGGGTCTGGGCAGCAGCTCTGGCTCCAGGCTGTTGGTCACTCAGGGCACGTGTGTGACACAGAATCCAGGAGTGGAGGGCACTTGATGCGTGAGCGGCTGGTGGCAAGTGGAGGGGCCACAGAGCACCCTCTGCCCTGCCCGACCTCTCTCGGCTCAGGAACAGGGGCCTTAGAAATAGCAGCAACAGCTCCCATGCATGGAGCTGGGGACATCCAACCAGGTGGGCAGGACTGCACCAGCTGCAGAGAAGGGAAACTGAGGCCGGCAGGATCTTGGCTGCTTGTCTTTCCTTATCCTTTGCACTTGGAACATGCATGGGTGTGTCAGGGTCTCCCCAGGCCCAGCTTCCTGTTTCACCCTGTGACCCCCCCACCATGTTCATCCCCTCTGCCTGCCTGGCCCCCAGCAGCTCTGGAGCTCTGGGTTGACCTGGGCCGACTCCATTCACCGGGAACAGGGGACAGAACCACAGTGCTCACCCCGGGGCTGGAGTGGATTACAAACTCTCCTCCCTGAGACTGTGCGATGTCTCCAGGTGGGTCATGGGCAGTCATCGAGCCAATATCAGAGCCCCCAAACCTGCCCAGTGGTCACCACTGGATGCCCCTTCCTTCACTGAAGTGTGTAGCACAAGGCCTGGGACCGTGGGACTGGTGTGATACCCCCTGTTCTCTACAGGAAGTGCCCCCCACCCCAGCTTTGGGCACAGCCAGGGAAACACATGTAGCCTCTAGGATTTGGACAGGGCCACATCCGGCACCCATGTAGGGGAATCAGGAGCCCCGCTGCCTAGCAGACTCCTGTTTCTGCCTCCTGCTAGCTGGGTCATGGACCTCTTTGCTTCAATGTCCCCATCTGCAAAATGAGAATTATAACCTGGTCTTCTGGGGAGAGGGAGCCCCTGGGCAGTGCCGTTTGACGGTGCTGGCACTGGAGTGCGCCACACATCACCCTCCCTGAAGCCAGCGCCTCCCAGCCCATCTGTGTTGACCCTGGGCCCAGTGCTACCCTGGATCAGAAGGGAGCCAGGTCCCAGGCTCCACGGATGCATCTGCTCCAAGGACTTGGCGCTGGGTGGCAGGAACCTTGAGGGTCCGCTGGAGAACTGGGTCCGGGTCTCACGGCTTCTCCTTCTGGGTGGGAGGTAGGGGTGGGTTAGACAGGATGAGCGGTTCTGCTTTCTATGCTAAATTATGAAATCTTTCAAACATACAGAGAAGTACAGAGGAAAATATAACCACACCCACACCCACTGCTCAGATCCAATGCAGAGCAACATTAGCTTTTGGATTTTGAACATGAAATAAACATTAGATTTGGCCGGGTTCCCCTGCTCCCCGCAGAGACACCTCGGGAGGCTGCTTCCGGGCCCCTCACGGCATTGTGTTCTCACTGTGTCTCCGCGTGCGTGTCCGTGCATATGTTTTAGGTTATTTGCGTGCTTTTCACAAACATGGTATCGTGTTGTGCATCTCCTTCGGCAAACTTGCTTTCCCACTCCACATAATTTCCTCTTATTGTGGAAACATTCGCACAACATCAAATGAGCCATCTTGAAGTGCGTGCTTGGGTTGTGCTCTGTGCTTTCCCGGGGCTGTGCAGCCACCCCTCTGCCTGGCTGGCAAACACTCTCACCCTTGAAAGAGACCTCACAGCCAGGGAGTACCCCCGGCCCCCAGCCCCCAGCCCTCCTCTGGTGACCTCCCCTCTGACCCCCACTCACCTCTTCTGGACTCTCTTACTAGAATGGAGGTGCATGACCCCCACGTGGAGGGGCCCCCAGCTCAGCCATGCGTGGGGTGCAGGTGTGCTGGAAGGGGCCAGGACTTTCCAAGTGTGTCCCTCCTCCTGTAACCCCGGTGTTCCCCAGAGGTGGGTTGGTCCTTGCACTCCTGCATGCAGACCACGCAGAACCTAGTGGTGAATCAGCAGGGCGATTTCTCCTGCTTCCGTGGCTGGACTGGGCTCAGTGGGCCAGTTCTTCTGCTGGTCTCCTGCGGTCAACAGCAGCAAGGGCGGGAGGCTCACAGGGTGCAGCCCCCAGGCCACTCCCGGGTCACCCTGCAGCGTAGTTGATGACAGCCATTAGGGTACAGCAACCACCGACTGGCTTTGGGACCTGCTGGGTGTGGAGCACAGCAGTGGCCTGTCTGGGTGGCTGTGGAGGCGTGGCCTTGCGCCTGTCTCCTGTCCCTTCCCCTTCCTCTCTGGCACTGTTCTCATCTCTGCTTCCCAGTCGTCCTGAATGAAGCGGCTTTGTTCTGCTGCGCCCTGCCGCCATGATGCTTCGGCCTTGCAGCCGGCGGCCCATGGACCAAACCTCTTTAAAACCTGAGCTAAATGAAACTCCGCCTCCTTCATGCTGCACTTGTCAGGGATCCAGTTCGGCAGGGGGAAGCCGGGAATACAGTGGCCTCTTGCATGGTGGCGCCAGTCTCCAAATGCAGGTGAGTGGAAGTGGCTAGGCCCCTTGTGGCCGAGAGCTGCTGCCCAGACTGCGCCCTCCCAGCTAAAGTGGGCCAGGCCACTGTGATTGCCTCTGAGAAGCGGTGGTGTGGAGCTGATGCTATCGTCTGCTTTCCCTGGCTCTTCAGGAAGGTGGGTGACTTTTTCCACCATCAGGACAACGCCTGCAGCTTAGCACCTCAGGGCCACAGGGATGTGCTCTCACAGTTCCTGGGTCGTGAGTCACAGTGGGTCCCACTGGACTAAGGTCAAGACACTTGCCAGGCCACAGCCATCTGCAGACCGTCGGGGTACAGGGACCCTTCCTTCCTTTATTTCCTTTTTCAGAGTTTGAAGACCCCGGCTCCTGGCTGGTGGCCGCTTCCTCTATCTTCAACGCCAACATGGGAGTGCTATTCATTCCTCTCTCCTTGGACACCCCCCTCCCTGTTATGGGGAGCACTGGGGTAATCCCTGACAGCTCAGCGTCCACCTCCCTCTTACAGGGAGCTCTGGGGTGATCCCTGGTAACTCAGTGTCCACCTCCCTCTTACAGGGCGCATTTGGGTGATCCCTGGTAGCTCAGGGTCTTCTCTCCATGCCAAAGTCGTGGGCAGGTCCCTTTTGCTGTGCAAGGTGAAGCCACCTTGGGAAGCCAGGGTGTGGACATCTTCAGGAGACCCTAGGAGGTGGGTGGCCCTGGGAGTTTGGGAGTGACTTATTTTCCAGTTTTTCTCTCTGTCCCTCTCTGTTGTGCCAGAGACGTTCACTGCACAGATTGCCAGCTCTGTGTGCCCATTCGAGCTCACAGCATCAGCTTTGAGAGCCAGCATGATGACGACAGGGTGGAGCATTGGAGGGGATTAGCAGTGCCCATCTGCCAAGGTGCAGCGACATGAGCAGGGGTGTGTGGGCCTGGGGAGATGGGGCTGGGTGGGGAAGCAGCTGTGCAGGGAGGATCTGGGACTCACTCTCCTGTCTGGCTCTCTCCCAGCCCCAGCGGTGCCTCCAGGGCCTTGCAGAGCCCAAGGACTTCCTGGTCTCAGTGGCCAGGGCAGTTGTGGCGAACCTAGGGCACGCATGCAACCTGTTTTTCTTTTAAGACAAAAGCTGTCAATGTGTGAGTCTTGTTTTTCTAAACTGAAACCTCATCGTTCAGGTTGAAGGGCAGTGCTGGCCTTTGTGATAAAGAAGAAGGTTTTGGGAGTCAGAGTAGGCAGTTGCTGCTAACAAGCAAACAACCCACAATGCCCAGGTACGCTGAACATCAGCTGAACAGGAGGGACATACCTAAGCTCAAAGTCCTGAGTGTGCTCACCTGAAACTCGCGTGGCCCCCGAAGCCCAGCACCCCTCCCCACTCTCCTTTCCCACCGCAGCCCCCCACCAACCCATTCCCTCAGCCCACCCGGCTCCCTCGGGCGCTTCCGCTCCCACCGCCACAGTTTCAGCCGCTTTGAGTTGTATTTTTCTGTCATAAGAGCAATGCATGTTCACTACAGAAAAATCGCAGGTTATGGATAAGCAGTAAGAAAGAAGCAAGAAAACACTCATAATCCTCCCACGCGGTGCCGACTGTGACTCCCGCGGGTGGATTTTTCCAGAGCTCTCTGTGCACGCGCATGCGCGCGTGTGTGTGCATGTGTGCTTGTGCGCATCTTTTCGGGTCCACAGACCCCATTCAGACCCTCTCCTGGTGAAGAAGGGCACTGCTCGGGCCACCTGCTGGGCTTCAGCGCCTGCAAAGGGAGGCTCAGGGAGGCTGGGCAAAGACTCCAGCGGACCCAGGGGCACCACAGGAAGCCCCTCAGGCCGGGCCTTGAACAACTCACATCCTTCAGGGCCTCCCCGGGTCCCTCACGCGTCCTCACACAATTCACTTGTCTGGATCCTAATCGCTTCCTTTGGGGTGCCAGGCCCACCCTGGATTGGGGCCCACCCTGATCACCCCGTTTTAACTTAATCACCTCTTTGCCTCATTGCTAAATATGGTCATATGCGGAGGAACTGGAGGTTAGAGCTTTAACAGCTGAAGTGGAGGGACATAGCTCCCCCCACACATCTTGGTCCACTTCCCCGAGATCGTGGTGGGCCTGGGTGCCTTACTCCAGGACACAGGCCGATGTCACAGTCACCCCAGGGAAGCTTCAGGGTGACCGACTGGCATGCCCTTGCCACCCACCTGGCCATGGACCCAGCCCTGACTATTGCCTTCTGTCCTCACCGCCTGGAGGTGGTGCCTCTCCTCCTTCACCTGCTGGTTGGGTTATTTCCCCCCCAGGTAAACTCCAGGGGGAGCTGCCAGTCACAGGGGTCGCCACCTGCCCAGAAGTGCCCCAGCTTTGGACAGTGGATGGGTGGATGCCCACCACACCGGGGCCTCGGAGGCTCCTCCTCTGGGCTCCTGCTGTCTTGTCTGAAGCTCGGGTCCCCACAGGCTCAGCGGAGATGCCAGACTGGCTTCCCCAGCCCTGCCCCCTGGCCCCACTCTCCGGCTTTCTCTGTGACCTGCCACCCTCCTGCTCTCCAGTGTCCAGGGTGTTGCTATGGCTCCCACCAAGGACGTCCTTTCTCCCACATCTTCCTGCAGAGGGGCAAACACCACCTTTTCCATGAACTGGCTGGCTGTTTGTGTCTTCTCTTTCTCCCTGCCCAAGGCTGAATGGTACCGTGTCCACCTGGGCCTTGGATGTTGGTGACAGTGATGCAACAGAGGCGGACTCTCACCTCCTCCTGGCCATGGGCCCGGCACTCTTGGGGGGACAAAGCCAAATTCCCCACGCTCAGCATCCAGGATGGGACCAGACACAGGTCACACAGGTCAGACCTGCCCAGAGGACACTCCTGGGGAACAGCACAGGAGTGTGTGTGGGGACGAGGGGGCTCGGGCCACAAAAAGCTGTGTGTTTCCTGTGACATGTTTCCTGACAGCTTTGATCTTGCAGAGAAAGACATCTCACATCAGCCGCCTGGTCACACGCACAGTCACACATACAGTCATGTACGCTCAGAAACCAAAGTGGCTGCAAACCGGTTCCCTCGGTGAAATATACACAGATATTTTTATTGTATTTGCTTCTTCAAAATGCTTGACTTGCTCAGATAAATTGATTTCAGGACTCACCGCTGGGCCTGCTTTGCAGTTTGAGAAATCTCACTCTCATCGAGGATTTTGTTTTCTGCTCTATGTTCTGTATTTAAAATTTAATAATGATGATGGATTTATGTGTTATGTGGTTTTCACTTAAAGAAGAGCGGGAGAACTGGGGAAATAGCAGAAATCGGATTGCCTCTCCGTGAGGCGGTAGTGGTGGCCAAGCAGACACCTTTCAAGCTGTGCCTGTGACCCGTCCCAGTCCGGTCACTTGCGGGTGTGTAGTGACCTGACTTCCCTCGTAGTAAGGGACACCCCGACGCATGGGTGTCCACCTCCTGGCCTCCTTCGGAACAGGGATCACAATAAACTCGTAATTGGAGGGGAAGCCAGGGGCGTGGGAGGAGAGGCCACGGCCACTGAGCAGGAGAGCGGTTCTGCCACCCTGGGGAGGGGGACGGAGGAGGTGGGCATACTGGGCGGCCACCGGGGGTTGGTTTTAGCTTTCTCTGTGTCGGCAGGAGCCAAAGAAGGGGAGACTTGCAAAGAAAGGAGACAAAGAGAAAAAGAAGGAAGAAACAAGAAAGGAGAGAAAACAAAGGAAGAGAGGAAGTGGAAGGCGGGGAGGAGGAAGAAAAATAGAGGGTTTGTGTGTGGGTGGAGGAGCGGTCCTGCGGGGCGGGGCTGGCGCTGCCACAGGTCCAGGCGGTGCATCCAGTTCAGGCCGGGAAGGGAGCGCAGCCTGGACCGTGCAGGCCGCGGGGCGGGAAGACGCTGCACGCGCCCTGGGGGCATCGCAGGCGGCCGCGGCGGGGGACAGGCAGCCCGAGCCTGCTCTTGCCGCTGTCCCGGGCGCCCCGTCGAGTCCCTGCTGGGCCAGCGGAACCGGCCCTGCCCGACTCTCGGCGTCGTCGTCCTGCTGCTCTCTCCCTGTTCTTCCTGGAGGTGGGTGGGGGTTCGGGATGCGAAGTGCGGGAGGTGGAGGTGGGGGCGGGGAGGAGATGCAGAAATACCATCTGTACCGATTTTTCTTAAAAGTTATTTTTCAATTGAAATACTTTTAAAGCAAAAGAAAGAAAAGAGAGGAAAAAAAAAGAATTTGAAAAGATCTCAAATTTAGGGTGTCAGTCCCAAAAGTTTTCAGGGAGGAGCAGCGTGGGGGCTGGGGCAGAGCCGGGGGCGAGGCTGGCAGTACCTGGGCCGCCTCCCAGGCCTACGTGCATGCGCGCCGCCCGGGGCGCACCGCCCCTGCCCCCTCCGAGACCCGGGCCGCCCAGGCCTTTAGGATCTGCAGACGCTAAGCTCTGCTCCTGGGGCCTCGCCCCTCCCTTTCGGCTTCCAGGTGTCGCTGGCTGAGGGAGGCGCGGGCGCTGATGCCGCGCCCCGGAGTCGCCTTGTTTCTCCAAACTGCGGGGAACAGCGCGGGGGCGGGCAGCGCGCGGGACGCTCGGCGGGGACGCGGGCGGGTCTGTGCCCAGCGCCGACGCCCACACCGTCCCGAGATGGCCGGGCCTTCCCCTCTCCATCCTCCCACCCCCTTTTCTGCTTCCCACTCGCGAGCGAGTTGGGGTGGTGGCGAGCTTTGGCTCGAGCTGGAGGAGGCGCAGGAGGAGGCGTCCCGGGTGGGGCGCACTGAGCTGCACCCCAGTCCTGCTGCACGGACCCCAGCAACGAGGCGGGGGGGGGGCGAGGACTGCAGGTACCGAGGCGTCAGGTGCACGGCGCCACCGACGTGCAGGGCTCCGCAAGGTTCAAAGCTCCCGTCGCCCTCCACGTCACCCCTCCCCCACGGCGCCGGATAAGTTGGACGGGCGTGCGACCACGGGAGCTGCCCGCGTGTGTGCGTGCGCGGGTGCGCGCAGCATGTCGCCTCCTTCCAGGACCCCCAGGCCTGCGCTCCCTGCTTCTCTGCCGCCTCCAAGTTGCCCGCCCAGGTGTGTGCGTGCGCGCCCACGTAGGGGCGCACCCGGGCCTACCACCTTCTCCCCCCTCCATCCACCGCTGCCCCGCCCCCACCGCCTCGGCGTGTCTCCCGCCCCCGCCCCTGCCCTCGGGGTCCCGCTTCGGACTTCGCGGAGGGATGTGTGCTTCGCTCCTGTCGCTTTTCAGAGCCAGCAGGAGATAAAGGGAATCGTACAGCAGTTTACTTTAAGCCTTTATTATTGTAGCTTAAACGAAGTTTATATACAGGGAACGCTACCAGCAATACACTAGCTGAGTGGCCTTTGAAATCCGGGGCCTCCACCCCGGCCCGGCAGTCGGTAGCTCTGCCCAGGTGTCCCTAGTCTTGGAGTCCAGGCTCTCCCCGCATCTCCCCTTCTCCGGACTCTGCCACCAGATCCCGTTCCCCCAGGAGTCCTAGTCTCTTCAGTCTCCCCGGGGCTGCAGACCTCAAACCATTTTCTGGAAGCGACCCCTCCCACCCAATTCCCTCCCCTTTCCCGCCTCAGTGACCGCGGTCTCCTCTTGAAGTCCAGAGCAGTCTTCCCCCTCTGGCTTTCGGCACCGATTCGAGCCATCCTGCAATTTCGGAACCCGCCCGTGGTCGAGACCAGTTAGGGACAGTTCGTCATCAGCAGAGGGGCTCATGCGCGCCCAAAACAAGGGGGAAGACTACCCTGCCCACCCTCTCCCTCCCGAATCCCCCCCACCTCAGCTCAGAGACAAGAAATAAACACAAAGGCAGCAGGGCTCCCTGCGCGCGACAGGTGGGTGCCAGGCAACTAGCGGCAGCCTAGAGCTGCTGGAACCCAGCTGCGCTCCCGGCGCGCGGGCGTGGCCAAGGTGTCTGCATTGCAAGCTACGCGCATGGCGCACTGGACTGGCTGGAGGCGCGCTGGGGAGCAGGTGTACAGGAGTGGCGTGGGGGCCAGGCCTGGGGGCACACAGGCATGGGTGTGTGCACGCTGTTTCAGGGCTCCCAAGGGGATTTCAAGCCAGCGGGCAGGGATAAGTGACGTCACATAGTCCCACGGAGGCTAGTCTTTAGAGGCTGAGTGCCAGACCCAGCCGGACAGTCATGGCTCAGTGCATCTGTGTCCTCGGGCCTCACCATGCCCAACTTCGCTGGTGATGCTTGCACTGGGGCTTCGAAAGCCCGAAGGCCCAGCTCGCTAAGTTCAGGCAACTGTCCATTGGTTGTTTAGAACCGGCCGTGCCGAGGGCCGTGCAGCTGCTCGTCGTAGCGCTCCAGCCAGGTGCGAAGCTCCGAGACCTGGTAACCGTCTGGGCCTCGGCCGCCCTGGTACATGATGGTGCCGCTCTGGATGACATAGAGGCGTTCAAAGTAGGCACCGTAGGCTGAACTGCTGGAGTTTGCCATGGTGTCCAGGACCAGAGCACAGCCAGGGGCGCCTTGCTGCAGCACCCGAGCCGCGCTGACCCGGTCTTCCAGGCTCCGGTGCTGTGGGATGATGTAGGGGGAGTCTGTGGTGACCCAGCCGTCGGAGGGGTGGGCCTCCTCGATGTAGATGATGAGGAAATCAACATCGCGCTGGTACTTGGTGACCAGGCGCTGGAAGGCGCTCATGCGCGCCATGAACGGTGGTCAGGTGCAGCTGCCGAAATTGAGTACTAGCGGGCGGTTCCCGTGCTCATAGTCCAGGATGCGCTGGCTCTGGAAGCCATCGGGCAAGACCACTTCGGAGTTGGGCGCTGGGCCGCCCTCGTGCGCCTGCTTAAAGAAATCTAACTTCTGGCCATGCCACACAGCCTTGAGCGACGCCAGGGTGCAGAGGCGGTTGTCGTCGGACACGCAGATGGGCGGGTCGTCGGGGGGCACCTCCTCGCCCTCACTGTTGAGCTCTGCTTCAGGCTCAGGCTGCCCCAGGCCACGGCGGCGCAGGAAATGCTTGCGGATGCACAGGAAGTCGAGGAGCCAGAGCATGAAGGCCGTGCCGAGGAAGCGCGGGAAGAGCACGAGGCACGAGGCGATCTGGGCGCAGAGCCTCAGGGAGTGAAGCAGCAGGGAGCGGAGCATGGTGGCCGCGGGCCCCAGGGCCCCCCGGGACCGGTCACCCTCCCGGACCCCCAACCTCGAGGCGGCCTGGTGCGGCATCTGGGCTTTGGCGTGCTGGGAGCTCAATTTATAGCCACGAGTTCAATTGGCGGGAGACTCCACCTCCGGCCCGGGCCCGCCCCCTTGCAACTTGAGCCCGGAGGGATCTCCCAGCCGCGCGGCCAATGCCCGGGAAATCGCGAGTCGAGGGCGGAGCAGGGCGGCCGGGTGTCGGGGAGGGCGGGCGCACGCCCGGCGGTCCACTCTCGGGGGCGGCGGACCCGGGAGCCGCCGCTGCCTTCACCGGGGACCGGGACCCCGGCCGGGGCCGGGCGCCCGCGTGGAGGTCCTGCAGCGGCGCCGCTGCCCGCGCCCCCCGGTCCGCCACTGTAGCTGCGCACCTGAGCCGAGTTCCCCGGCGGCCGCCGCGCCGCGCCGCGCCGGAGCTCCGGTTCGCTTCCCGCGCGCCGCCGCCAACGCTGCCGCCGCTCGTGCGGGGTCGCTGCCCAGGTACTGCGCGAGCCCGGGCCTGCGGCCACCGCCCGGTTGGCCCCGGCTCCCGTCCTGCCCCGCCGGGGACGCGGGTCCGCCAGGAGCAACTTTGGGCTCCTGCCGCCGGCCCGGCTCGCCTCGCCCGCGGGCGCCGCTCGCCTGCCGGAGCCCGTCCGCCCGCCCCCCGCGCGCGCTCACACTCGCGCCTCACACACGGCCGCCCCCCGCGCCGCCCCGCCGCGCACACCGCGCTTCGCGCCCCCCGCCTCGGCCCGGGGCCGCCGCGCGCCTTCCCGGCCGCGCCCGCCCCGTCCCATCTCGCCGCCCGGGGCGCCTGGCTCGAGGGTCAGCGGCCGCCCGGGACCCGGTGCAGCCGGAGCGCGGAGGGCAGAGCCCGCGGGCGCGCTGAAGCCGGGCGCCAGGCCGGGAGGGCTGGGGCGGGCGGCACCGGCTTGCGCCCCGGTGCACTCGGAGCGTTTGGGCGGGCGGGCGCGGGGCGCTGGGGGCGCGGGGCGGCGCCGGCCCCGGCGGCTCTCCCACTAGGGGTAGCTGTTGCCTGAGCTCGGAGCGCTCCCCTCTCGCTGCTCGCCTCGCCCGCGCAGCCCCGGCCGCCGGGCGCACCCGTCCCGTTCGTCCCCGGACGTTGCTCTGGGCCCCGGGAGCGTCGAGACTGGAGCGCCCGAACGCAGCCACCTTCGCGGACCCGAGCGCGGCGCCCGACTCACCGCGGAGGCGCCCGAACGCGTCAAGTGCGTACTTTCAACTGCGGTTGTGCGTTGAGGATTTTAGGGGTGCGGGGCAACTCCCCAACTCTGCGGGGCCCCAGTCGGATCTGCCGCCGCGCCCCAGACCTGATGGCTCGTGGCGCGGCGATCGGCTCGGGCTCCGTGGCGAAGGGGTGGCGGGATCGGGAGGCGCCTTGACCTGGGGTCCCCGAGGCCGCGGGCGAATCCCTCTCTGCTGGGCACTGTGTCCGCCAGGACAGGACCCCGGCCCAGGCGGCGGCGGCCGGTTCTGTTCCAGAGGCTCCGAGCTGCCCAGAACCGCCCTCTTGGTCGAGGACTCACCGGGTGGCGGGTCTGAGCCAGAGCCGCGGCGCCTGCAGCCCGCGCCCCGTTGCCATGCCCTCTGGGGCCCTGGCCACCCAACTTTTTTTCAGGACCAGGACAGCACTCACTCCCGCCTGGGCTGAGGTGGGGCGGGCTGGGCCCTGCAGGGTGTGGGCGGATGGATCTTTCTCCTCCGAGTGCAGGGGTCGTCTGCAGGGCAAAGGGCCTGGCGAGCAGGTAGCTGCCCCTGGGCAGTGCCCTCCCCCTCCCCGGGAGTTCACGGCCCTGGCAGGACCTTCTACTCCGTGACTTCCCACGGAGCCTGTGGCTCCATCAGGACGAGTCCCCAAGTGTGCATAGAGGCCAAGAGGCTGGTGAGCATTGCCCCTTACCTTCCCTGATGTGTGAGACAGGGTGCACCCTGGGGCGCACACCCGGGGGCTAGGGGCTTCTTACTCTTCTAGGAAAGCTGGCTGGGTCTGTTCAGCTTGGTGCTCCCAAACAGCCCCTCATCTCCCCAGGGGGCGATCTTCTGGTGGGCTAGGGAGTTGTCCCTGAGCCAGCCTGCTGGTCAGGGAGCCCACTGTCTCCCACCCCCACCCGGATCCCCACCTGCGGTAAGCACACCACCTAGTCCTAAGGTCAGAGCTCAGGAGGCAGAAAGGAGAAGCCAAGCCTTAGGAGTTGGAGGCTTCTCGGGCAGCCCACTCTGGGTAGGGGTGAGACAATTTGGGGTTCCCAGCTGTTGGACACTCTTCAAAGCCTTGATTCCTGATGTCTGGAGTGCCAGTCTGGGGCCTGTATGCTGCCCCTTCCCCCCACGCCTGGAGACGCAGCAGGGCTGTGCACAGTTCCTCCTTCCACGTACAGGTTTGCAAAATGCAGAAGGTGCTTTGGGCTAAGAGGACCTTTTTGTGCTGCTGGAGAGGCGGTGGGGTATGTGTGTATGACTGCGTGTGCGTGTTCTTGTGTGTAGAAGGCACGGTGCAGGGCAGAGAGGAGTCTGACCTCTGGGCTCCCCTCTGGGAGTCTCCAGACCACACTCCTTCCTGCCTGGGGACACCCCACAGCAGTGCATGTGCTGGGGAGCTGGGGGTGCCTCTCCAGCTGATGGGTGGGCTGTAGCCTGCGAACACTGCAGAATGCTGACAAGAGGTGAGGGTCTCGGAGCCCGCAGGTTCCTGTGCAGGTGAAGACGCCCGGGCTCCAGGTGACTCTGCCATGGGACACAGCTTGGGGACAGCACTCCTCACCCACCTCCTCGGGTCTACTGTCTGTCTCTCCTCTCAGTGGCAGCCACCCCTTCCAACCTGGACAGCACCCTGGTCTCTCTGCGGCCCTAAATGTCCTGTCCTGTCTCAGCTGTCCAGAGCAAGGTAGTGGCCCAAAGAGACCATGACCTGGGGGTGGCCCTGGGCCCTGGTGGGCTGGCAGGGTCTGCATGGGGACCAGAATTGGAGCTGACCTGGCTGCTGGCCATGGCCCCTCCCTCCTGCCCTCTCCTGGCTCCAGCAGGGGGCGGACAGGAGAAAGAAAAGGGAGGAAGTGCTTTGGGGCCACTTGGAGGGAGCCTGGGGGAGGGGTGGTTGTCAAGGCCCTGGCAGAGCCCAGAGAGCTGGCCCTTGGGTGGCCCTTGGTCTCCAGCCATGTGGTCATGGCAGCCTTCCCATGAAAGGGAGGCTTGGTGGCCCTGGTGCCAACCTCTCCTCTCACTGTCTCTCACTGGTGGGTAGGACACAGTACGCACAGCTGGTGTCTCCCTTCCTACAGAGCAACACTGCTGTCCAGGGGCAATGCCAGCAGGCTTGCCATCGGGTGGGCGACTCCCAGGGGAACACGTGTCCTTTCGGGAGGACCTCCTGAGGCTCTGAGAGCAGGTGGCCTAGCCCACATACCTGGAAGAGACTTGGAGAGTGACAGGTGGGTGCCCTGTACCTGGCCCCTCTAAGGCACACGCTGGCTGCCCAGTCTCAGCTTTCCCTGGGCCTGTCCTGTGCCCCCCAACCTCTGCTGGCCTCTAGTGTTCCCCAGCCTCTGAGCCTCCTGACACGCCCTCCCTCTGCCTTGCGCCCTGTTCCACCTGGCCTGACCTGTCCCCCCGTGGTGTAGCCTCAGGGGAGGTGGTTTCCTTCTCAGCTGCGACTGCCTGGCTGCAGCGCTGGCTCCCGGGCTGGCCTGAGGACCCTTATCAGTGACTGCCCAGAGCAGTACTGGGAGACGCTCAATAAAGCTTTGTGGAGTGAGTCATGTGTGCAGCGTGTGCTTACTGACACCCCTGCTTTTGGGAGGATTTTGAGCTCCTGCCTCCCCGCTGTTTGCACACCCGCAGCGGTGAGCAAGGTAGGGCGTGTTGGCAGGCCGGGCTGAGTGAGATCATTGGGGACCTGTGCCGTGTCCCTTTTGGGTGTGATGCCTCACAAGTGCACCTGTCGCCTGGCCAAGGGACCAATCCAGTCCTCATCCTGGACCACAGGGCTCCCCCGGGGCTCTGGGCCTCCTCCCCAGAAGGGTGTCTGCAGTGCTCCTGTGGCACAGCGAAGGCTTCTGTCCACACAGCCCTTCTGTGGGCTCATTCTTGAAGGCCGAGCAGTGGCCACCTGTGGGGTGGGATGGGGTGGGGTGGCTGTGGGCTCAGAGGTCTTGTCTAGGGTGGTGGCCACCCCTCCTGAGTTGGAGACAGATGGGGAAAATGTGTCCTGGGCTGGGGTGGGGCTGGGCAGCCTGGGAGCTGGGCCAGGAGAGCTTGTCGGGCCTTGGGGCCTGGATGCGGTGGGGGTGTTTGGCAGTGTTTGGGGTTGGAGGAATCTGGGGCTCCTGGCCAAGGGGAGGATGAGGCTTGGGAAGGAGCGACGCATGTGAGACCCTGGGCATGGCTGGAGCGCCTCTCCAGTCCTTCCTGTGCTGCCACTCCAGACTCCAGGAGGTCTCGGAGATCCTGGGAGGGGCTGGCCCGCTGCTCCTGGGCTGGGAATACCCATGCAATGGACACAGCCCTGACAAGTCCCATCCTTCCTCATGTTCCTCATCTGTCCCCAGCATGGTCCTTCTCTGCCACAGCCCTAGGCCTTGCTCAGGTGGGCTTGGGTAGTGCTCTGCCTTGTTTCTGGCACAACTGTGGGCACAGCTCCCTGCAAGGAGGGAGCCCCTGAAGAACTCGGGTGCCTGGCCAGCACCCTGGGGACATCCTAGTTGGCATCAGGATGCTGGGCTACTCACGGCAAAGACACTTGCTGGCCTGAGCCCTGAGGCTGGCTCAAGGCCACTACTGGTCAGTCCCTCCTTTCCACCTCTGCAGTCCATGGCGGGGCGCGCCCAGCCAGCAGGTGTACACCCAGGGCCTCCTTTATTTCAGCAGGCCCAGCATGAGTGCTCACTTAGTGTGGCAAGTGAGCAAGCACATACATGTGCTTGTTGTACGTGTATGCACATGTGTGCGTGTGTGTGCCTGTTTGTACCAACCAACCTTATTCCTAAGGAGGGCAGGTTCCTTCCTGAAAGTGTTGGAACCCCAGAAGGTATCTCAGGTGAGGTGAGAAGGCAGAAACGGGGAGAGATGGATGGCCGGCATCTTCCTCTGCCCATAGTGTAGATTTTCCCCAGACGTCCTGCTGGGACAGTCTTGCTGGGTATGGTTCTCAGGGTCCACAAGACAAAAGCTGGCTGAGTG